TGTGCGTACTTAACGACAACACGAAAATCGAGAGCAGCATCTTCGACATATTGTCCATCATTGCAAGGAGACTCAAGATCTTCGGGCATGACCTACACCCCAAGAAGACTGAAGCGTTGCTGCACATCGATGGGCACGCCAAACAGCATATCAAGGCGAAGATTTTCAAGACAAGCCCCATCACGCTGCTGCGCGAGGATGGTCAGCCGCCAACCAGCACTGAAGTTTCAACGACGGAGGTCACGACCCAGGGACTCACATTGGGCAATATCGTGACAAGTGATGGCGGGGAGGGGCCGAACCTTATGAGACGCATCATAGACCACAGATCCGCAGAGGGCCCCTTGAAGAAGTCCATCTTCCGCCTGCCGCACATCGACCTCAAGGCCAAGCTGTTGTATCTCACGGCACTGGCGCAAAGCAAGCTGACCTACGACTGCGAAGTGTGGGGACCACTTACAGTACAACAGAAGCAGATGCTGCAGAGCAGACACATGGCGAGCCTGCGGGCCGCCGCAAGACAACAGCGACACAGCGCGGGACATGTACATACCTTGGATGACGAAATATACTTGTTGTGCGATGAAGTACCGATCCACATGCACCTGCGCCGACGGCGCCTGATGTACCTGGCCAGGATGGCGCATGCAGACACGCCCTTCCTCCACCGCCTCATCGACGAACTTTGGGAGGATGAGAAGGCCTGGAATGCTCTTATCGTCGAAGATCTGGACTGGATAAGAAGTTTCCTACTAGACGACGAGGACATCGGCAGCGACATCAGGGGCTTGTTACGGTGGCTACGCACACAGCAGGTGCGAGCCGCACAAGCCACGATCACCCGTGCGTGGCTCAGGTACAAAGCACGGCAGCACGACATATATCGTCATCGAGTATGGCAAAGGCAGCTACACCGTCTTGCGCAAGAGTTTGGAATGACCACGCCCAACTTCGAGGGGCTGCCGCCCGCACAGCACTGTGGCTACATATGCTATGAGTGTGGCAAGATATTAAAAACTAGGGGAGCATGGAAGCGCCATCGCACCATGGAACACATCGGCTACGACCTTCCCGAATTGCTTGCCCGTTCGACTACCTGCCCTGGGTGCGGGAAGAACTTCATAACGAGATCCCGCATACTCAAGCACCTGAGAAGGTGCCCCAAATGCCTGGCGGTCCTCCAAGCAATCGAGGTCCCAATGGATTTGCAGGAGGCAGCCGAACGCCGAGAAGAAGAACGAGAAGCTGTGGCGGCGAGGAAGGCAATGGGGCATGGAGCTACAAAGGCGCTGGTGCCCGCCCAACAGGTCATACAGCTCAAGCTGGCCGACTACATAGAGCAGCATCAGCTTCAACTCTCGCCGGCCCCGCCTGCAGCAGCGGACGTCCAAACAGGGGACACCACCTGCAAACGTATTCTCACCGTGCAGGCCCATGGTTACCACGGCTATGTTCTTGCTGCACCTTTTCTCGGGCAGACGTCGAATCGAGGATTTCCAGTACCACTTCGAGATGAACATTCGGGAATGCAACTTGGTAGTACTATCGATCGACGTGCAGATAGACCCCGTCAAAGGAGACCTGACGAAGCCAGACGTCGTCGAGTTTTGGTGCGCAGCGATACGACAGGGCAAAATATTTGGTATTGTGGCGGGCCCGCCCTGCGAGACGTGGTGCTCATCGCGCTGGCATGCCGCCGAGGGGAAGGCACCACGACCACTACGTACACATGAAGCCCCCTGGGGCATACAAGCAGCTAGTCAAGCGGAGCATCAGCAGATCGCACTAGCCAACGAGCTATACAGGACAGCTTTACTACTCATCACCACGGGCTTGCAGTACAACGTTTCAGCCGTACTCGAGCATCCCGCCCCAGCCACCTGGTGCCCTCAAGCGCCTAGCAGCTGGCAGCGAACAGAGACTCGCTGGCTCCTGGAGCAGACGGGCGTCGAACTTCACTACATAGACCAGTGCCAGTTCGGGCAGGATGCGAGAAAACCAACATGTCTGATGGCGGCACACCTCGGTGAACTCGCACAGGAGCTAAGGGCGGTACCTGGTGGACAGCTATGCCGACATACGGGACATGCCAGAGCTTACGGACGAGACGGCCAAGGCGGCTGGAGGACCGCCCCCCTCAAAGAGTATCCATCAAGGCTGTGCAAGGCAATGGCTTCCGCTTTCGCAGCCCACTGGGGGCAGCTTGCTGACGAAGAGGCAATGTGGGCCGAAACGGACGAATGTTACCACAGGTTCTACGCCCCCTTGGACCACTACGTTGAGCCAGATCAGATCGGACATGATTGTCACAGGGCATGGGGCAACCATCGGCGCTAGCAGCTGGCACTGCAGCGGCCTATTTGGTGCGGCTAGCCGGGTCAAGCGTTCAGTATTATATACTTCAGCCCCGCAAGGGATATTGGTCTGCATTTTGGCGCAGACCACCGGCCTGCTACAGATTTGAGGGCAGCTGGCATTACAATATTGTATACAGAGTACTTCAGATTGGCAGCAGACGGGTCAACATCAGCGTACCTACTGCATGGCCCAATACCCCGTTGCTAATGGGTTACTGGCATGGCTGCGCCCTGGACAACGATTGCGTGCCAACTCGAGGGGGGGGGGCCCGTAGCGCCCATACGGGTGGGCACGATCCCTCAATGGCGACGGAGCGTGCCCCCCCCTCGAGCACTTTTTGGATTTATCGACTTTCCTAATATTGACATTGATTTCTATGATTATTTTCCCTGGACAGGCATTACGGTGTGCTGCTTAAGTCCTGAGGAAGCCCCAAATGCGTGGGAAGACCTCAGGCAGCGTCGCCAAGTTTTGCTATTGTTAGAACGCAAGACCTGGGGAAGCCCCGAATGCGAGGGAACACCCCAGGCACAAGTCGCCACGTTTTGATGTGTACCTCGGCGGCTTGGATACCTACAATTTGGATGGCGCCAGCTGGCTGGCAGCGGGCGGCCCAGTGGCCGTCGGCGTACCACCGACCGACATCGACAGCATACCCAGCACGACCCCCCACAACTCCTGCCAAGTCAACGCTGTCCTGGTGAGGATCAAACTTCGAGACGGGCTCGAAGGGCTGGGGGGGAAGGACGAGTACTTCCCGCGCCCGCCAGCGGGGATTGTGAGGGGCAGGGGGGGGGGGGTAGGACGGCCACTACCTGCGCCCCCGCGGTCCGCCCTAGCTCGCCACCCCCACCATTCCCATGGAGAAGGGGGAGCTACCCGATCGTCCGAGGGCGAAGCTGGACAGCCGAGACACCCCACTCCGACGATAACAAGTACCAGGCCTGGGGTTCGCCCCCACCGAGGGCACCGTGACCCCTAGCCATAGCGGGACGAGGTGGGACAGCAACGACCCCCACTTGAAGTCGGTGCATGGAGGCCTAGGCAGCACACAACCAACACAACACCAGCAACGAACCGACCCCCAACGACCGTCCAACTCGCTCCACATCCTGCACTCATCCCCCATACATCGACATCTACAACATCAGATGATCAGCACCCCCCTGCCCTTCAAAAGCAGGAGGGTCATGACTGACGTCGGCAGCACCGCGGCGCTACATGGAGCCCTACAAGGTGCAGCTCTGCGACGTCAGGCAGTACTGGAAGGCATGGAGTACTCGACCAGAAGGGGCAGCCTGCCCCGCGGTGAAGGAGACACAGCGCCTGGCGCCGAAGGGTGTCTCCCCACCGCCCTCGCGTGGCAGGCGAGGAGATTGCTGCAGAGACGCCGGAGTCCAAGAGAGGCTCGGCGGGCCTCCACAGCGCCAAGCGCCGAAGGGTGGAGGCCGCCGCAGAGAAGGCGGCCATCCACCTGATGACCGGGCGGCTGGGCTCAGCGCGAGGCGCCGAAGGGAGCCCAGCCGCCACACAAGAGGCCGACCGCCCACAAGGAGGCCGAAGGCCTGGCTGCGCGCCGAGCTGGCTGAGCTGGCACGGGCGAGCGCGGCGCCCGCTGAGGGCCCAGACGGGCCCTCATCTTTTTAGTTTTTCTGAAACCCGGCCCCTCTTCTCCCTTCTCTATGATTATTTGGTCCCTGGCTCCCTGCTTTCCTCGGGGTCGGGTTCCCGGGGCCGCTGTCTGAGTGCCCGCACGGCCCTGGAGGGCCGCTGCAGAGCGCTCCGCGCCCGCGGGGCGCGCGACAAGACGCTGCATAGCGAGAAACGTAGAAACGTAGGAGGAGGAGGAGGAGGAGGAGGAGGAGGAGGAGGCGTGGGGGAGGAGGACACGCAGGGAAAGGCAAGGGGGGACGCAGGACGGAGGGCGCACTAGCCTGCCTGCCTCTCTCTCTCTCTCTCTCTCTCGCATGGCGATCGCGTGTCTCCCTCAGAGCCAGGCTCCGCAACCGCCTCCGGCGCCCGCGGTCGGGGCCGGGGAAGGCCCATTTTTTGTCCGGAGAGGGGGAGAGGGGAGACGAGGCCGCCCACGCTCAGGCCATCGAGGAGGGTGGCGAGGAGGCGACGAGGAGAGGCGAGAAGGCGAGGTGAGGCGGCGAGAAGGCGAGGCGCGGTGTCGCCATCGAGGGGAGGGCGGAGGTTGGACGAGCGGCGGGGCCACATAAGTCAGGAAAGATGTGCACAGCGTAGACGGCGTACGGTAGGTTTGCGCCGCGCTGACGTGGCGGCGGCGTTCAAGGCCGAACTCCACCAGTGGCCCGGAAGCGGTCGATGTCGAACGACCTGCGCTGTCGGACAGCCGCTGAGCGCTCAGGCTTGGACGATCCACGATGGTCGCAGAGACCAACGCCGCCATCATCGCCGCACGAACCCACCGTACAGTCGGCCCGGATTGGTAGGTCGACCCTGCCAGTTCAAGGATACCCTTTGTCCTGTGCCTCGCGACACATGCGTTCCTACACTCCTATGGCGATGTGGTCCTCGGAAGGGTCTTGTGTCCTCTCGCGTGTCCTGTCCAATCAAGGCCGACTGTACTTGCTAGCATTGGGAAGCCTGCCTGCCTGCACCCCCCCGAATCCCGCCAGGCCTGCTCGCGGCCGCCTACGGGCTCCGCTCCCCGCGACCGCCGAGCCCGCTCGGCGCCGCCGGCCTCCAGGCGCGCGGCCGCGCGGGCGCGCGGGCGCGCGGCGCCCCCCGCTCTGGCTCACCTCCACACCACTCCCCTCTCGACACCCCCCCAACCCTCCCCTCTACCCCTCCCCTCTCGCCCCCCCCTCTCCCACCCCTCTCCATCTCCCATCCCCATCCCCATCCCCAGCCTCATCCCCATCTCCATCTCCACCTCCCTCTCCGGCCCGCCGGCCAGGGCCCCCCCCCCTGGAGATGTGGTCTCCGCCCAGCCGACGCCACGCATGTGTAGGAGTCAGCACCGGCCCGCGGTCTCTTGTGAGGCCCAGCGCCAAGCTGGCGCTCGAGCTCTCTCACGACTCGGGCCCGAAAAGCTACCCGAATAGTTGCCGAGCGAAAGCCTGCGCGCCGCCGTCGTCGTAAAGCTCCGGCGATCCCCGCTCCGGCGGGCCTGCCTCGGTCGGGGCCGCCGCCCCCGCCGCAGCCGGGGCCGAGCTTGCCCTGCGTGGGTCCGCTCGTTTGTGGCTTCTTCCTCCGATCGCTTCGCTGCGCCCTGCTGCTGGCTCGACCGACGCCTGCGCGCTTTGGCGTCCGCGGGCCGGAAGTCTGTGGTTTTCCTTTCTGCTCGGAAGGTGGTCTGTGTTGCGCGCTCGTTGCGGGCTGGGGGTGGGGCAGCCCGTAAGATGCGAAGAGGAGGAGGAGGAGGAGGAGGAGGAGGAGGAGGAGGAAGTACCCACACCACTAACCTCCCCTCGTTTTCCCGTCTGTGGGCCTCCTGGGAGGCCCCCGCTGCCACCGCTGGATTCGCCTCGAAAGTCTGATCAGAACGCGCCCCGCGAGAGAGAGGTCCGTGGAGTCGCGGTATCGGTACCTTCTGGTTCCCCGCCCAAAACCGACCAAGGCCCCCCTCCTGGCCCGGGCACCCCCACCCACAGGACTTCTGTTCTTGGGACCTCCCACCGCACATTTTCTCTGCCCAAACCGACCAACGCCCCCCTCCAGGCCCCGGCACCCCCACCCACGGAACTTCTGTTCTTGGGAAGGTCTCTGAGGCTCGAGCTTTGGGGCTCTTGGGCCCTCTCGCTGCTTCTTGGCCTGGCATCGCTCGGACGCGTGCATTTGTTCCCGGCGAGAGCCATCGAGGACCATCTTGGACCATCGAGCAACAAAACACGCGCACGAAACCGAATTTTGCACGGGAAAGGGACGTCCGAGCGACGGCAAGTTGGGGGTTCTCCAGCCCCCAGGGTGCCTGCCGGCGGCTGCCTCGGGGGGGCCATTTCTGCTGGGGCCTGGGACCCTCCAGCACGGGCGCGGTGCGCAGCACTACCCTCATGTCGGACTTGTCCTTCCAGAGGAGGGATATCCCTCAAAAGTAATCCAGAAATAATCTGGATACGATTTTCCCCATATCCGAAGGATGGGGTTCTTGTTATTCTCCGACCGCGCCGGACCACCCCTCCCCTCCTCCCTCTCTGCACTAGACAATGATGATGGTTGTCATGAGGATGACCATGGCATGGTGAGAGTATGATGCGAATATGACGGTGATGGTGAATGATGGATGAGTATGATGATGATGATGGTGGTGGTGGTGATGATGATGATTATGATGATGACGGCGATGATGATGATGATGATGCTGATAAATATGCTGATGATGATGCTGATGATGATGATGATGATGCTGATGCTGATGGTGGTGGTGGTGATGGTGATCATGATGATGATGGTAGTGGTGATGGTGATGATGATGATGATGCTGATGATGATGATGATGATGATGATAATGACTATGAACAGATGTGGAGGATGCCTCGAACGGTTTGCTGGTTGTTGCACTCCTAAGGGGGGACCGCCAGGGGTATTGCACGGCCTCCGTTCGCGCCCAAATGGCGGGGATGTCTCAGGCGGTTTGCCTGTTTTGGTCCGCAACATCCTTTGTTTTCGGAGCAGATGTTGAGGATGCCTCGTGCGAGGCACCTCCTGAGTGGGGGCCGCCAGGGGCATTGCACGGCCTCCGTTCGCGCCCAAATGGCGGGGATGTCTCGAGCGGTTTGCTTGTTCTGGTCCTCAACATCCTCCGCTTTCGGAGCAGATTCTGAGGATGTCTCGAGCGAGGCGCTCATTTTCACCCCCCCGGGTGGGCCAGAGTTTGTGTTGGTGGCCAGACTCGTGGGCACATATTCCCCTCAGGATGCCACAAGAGGCTCCAACAGGCTCAGGCCCCAGGAGGCCACATGCGGTCCCAGGAGGCATCAGGAGGCCACAGAAAGACTCAAGAGGCCACAGGATGTCCCAAGAGGCTCCAGGAGGCCCCAGGAAGCCAGGAGGCCTCAGGAAGCCACAGGCGGCCCCAGGATGCCACAGGAAGCGCCAGGAGGCATCGGAAGGCAACAGGAGGCCCCGAGAGGCCCCAGGAGCAGGAGGCCTCAGAAGGTAACAGGAGTGGCTCACATCCCATGTGTTTTACGTATGCTCCTATAGATTGGGCCTCACCTGGAGCACGAATCCTTTATGTTACACGTATGTTTCTATACATTGTCCATCTCTTGTGTGCACAATCCTAGATGTTTTACTTATGTTCCTATATTTTGGGCCTCTTCTGGGGCACGAGTCCTTGGTGTTTTACGTGTGTTCCTATGTATTGCCTTTCTCCTGTGGCTCCAATCCGCAATGTTTTATGTACGTCTGTTGCTATATGTTGGGCCTCTCCTGGGACACGAATCCTCCCTAGGATGTCCCAGGAGACTCCAGGAGGCCCCAAGAGGCTCCTGGAGGCCCCAGGAAGCCCCAGTAGGTTTCAGGAGGCCCCAGGAGGTCCCAGGCTCATGCGCAGAGACGCGCTCATACTCCTGCGGCTCATTCACACTCCAATTAATTCGCAGTTAGATTCATGACCAGACCGTCACAACTCATGCCCATTTATATTCGAAAACTCTTGCGCCTAGACATTCACGGCGGACGGGTCCATGCGAATAGATGCACATATGGGGAGTTCCACGCAGTGAATAAGTTGATTCCCCATATCCAAAGGATGGGGTTCATATTATTCGCCGACCGCGCCAGACCACCCCTCCCCTCCTCCCTCTCTGTGAATGATTGATGAGTCTGATGATGATGGTGATGATGATGTTGATGATGAAGATGAAGATGATAATGGTGATGGTGATGATGATGGTGTTGATGGTGATGATGCTGCTGCTGATGATGATGATGATGATGACAACGATGAGCAGATGATGAGGATGTCTCAAGCGGCTTGCTGGTTTTAGCACTCCTAAGGGGGGACCGCCAGCGGTATTGCACGGCCTCCGTTTGTGCCCAAATGGTGGGGATGTCTCAGTCGGTTTCCCTGTTTTGGTCCTCAACATCCTCCGCTTTTGGAGCAGATTCTGAGGATGTCTCGAGCGGCATGCTGGTTTTAGCACTCCTAAGGGGGGGCCGCCAGGGGTATTGCACGGCCTCCGTTCGCGCCCAAATGGCGGGGATGTCTCGAGCGGTTTGCTTGTTTTGTGTTATTTTCTTCCGGCGAGAAAGCCGAGAAAGCCATCGTCACACTCGACCAAGCAGGGCTCTTGGGCCGTAGGCTCCGGATCCGGCGGCTGGAGAGGTAACGCAATTCGCTGACGTGGGAGACCGCGCCGGCAAGCGGATGCACATCACTAGCTACACCCCAGACGCCGCGTGCTAAGATAGTGACAGAACACTGGCAGCTGCATGGTGGGGCCCTGAGCCCTGGCGATGCGGCGACTGTTGCGGGGATGCTTCGCAACAGTGACGGATCGGGACACAGACGAGGAGAAGGAGGAGGAGGAGGAGGAGGAGGAGGAGGAGGAGGAGGAGGAACAGGAACATGAACAAAACAGGAGGAGGAAAAATAGGAGGAGGTGGAGGAGGAGCAGGAGGAGGAGTTGGAGGAGGGGCAGGAGGAAGAGTTGGAAGAGGGGCAGGAGGAGGATCCGGAGGAGAGGCGGAGGGGGGGGGGGAGGAGGCGGAGGAGGAGGAGGAGGAGGAGGAGGAGGAGGAGGAGGAGGAGGGAGGGAGGAGGACGATGAGGACGAGGAGGGGAAGGAGCAGGAGCAGGAGGAGGAGGAGGAGGAGGAGGAGGAAGAGGGGAGGAAGCGGATGGGGAGGACGAGGAAGAGGAAGAGGAGGAGGAACAAGAGGAGGAGGAAAAGCACCCCCAAAGAGATCCCCGCGGGGCGGGCGTCCGCGCCGCCCGCCAGGTGCGCGGCGGTCTGCCTTCAGACCTTCTTTCTGAGGCGCTGGACGGCATCGCGGCCCAGCGAGGGTGCGAGGAGGTGGTCGTGCAGCTCGTGAAGGAGCCGGCGTTCCTCCTTCGGTGCCCCTCCTACGCCTCCGTCTCGTCCTCCGTGTCCTCATTACGAACCATTTGTTCAATTCTAAGTATTCGAAGGTTCTTCGATTTGTTTGGGGGCCAAGATCCTTTCATTTCTACTTGTTCTATCCTGGGCCTCTTGATGGCCACTAGACGGCCAGGAACAATTAGAAACGAACGCCATCAGAAATGAGCACGATTCGAACTCAACGATGTGTATGTTCCTCCACATCCTCCCCCACCTCCTCCTCCTCCTCGTCGTCCTCCTCCTCCTCGTCCTCCTCCTCATCCTCTTCCTCCTCTTCCTCCTTCTCCTCCTCTTCCTCCTCCATTTCAGTACGCTGTGCCTCCGTTTCCTCCGCCTCCTCCTTCCCCTCCTCGCCCCCTCCTCCTCCTCCTCCTAGCCAAGCGTGGCCCATTCCGCGCCCCCCGTGGCCGAGGGGGGATGCTTTGCGCGCCCTGCGGCCCCCTGGCCAATGAGTGCGCATGCGCGCGCCCGCCCTCTTGTTTTCCGATGTCACGCGAGTGGTAATATGGAACCCCCCATATCGACTTCTGACCCTGACAGATGTGGGGAAATACACATTACGATACCACCACATCGATGTCATAGTCCCGATAGGCACCCAGAGGAGAGCTATGAGCCCTCACGATGTGGAGCACGCTCCACACTCCAGAGCACTGCGCTCTGGCTGGAGCAAGCAGACATACACGAACTCCGCATGTGGCACCACAGTGGTGCTCAACTGAATCAGTATCAAGCCGCGGGCTATTACACAAATTTTGGACACCGAGATCGTGTATTCGTTGGCGGGCTGCCGCAATGCGCCTCAAAGGCCTCAACTATGATGTTACGATTTGTGGTCTATACTACTGCCCCCGAAGCTGCGACGGGCACGAACAAACACGCATTTTAGGTACACGTAGCCATGTGACGGACTTGCTCGGCAAATGTGCTGGATGATCTTCCCACCCGGACCACTCCTACTGTTGCTTCGGATGCTAACGACGGTATTGGTATGACGAGTGGCTCTCAGGGATTGCAAATGGTAACTTTCCCCATTCTCGGTCCATGCGCGAGGTCGGGTGAGCACGTCGCGGGAGGGATGCTTCGGAGGACGAAGGAGGTTTACGGGCTGGGGTTCTTGGACACGGTCTTTAGCTGCGGACCGAGCTACCATGGTCCCCACCACGAGTCTAGAATCGACCACGTCGTGGTTCCACCAGGTACGATGTCCAAGGTCACCAGATTCGGTCAGCTTTACAGGTCGACCCGCAAGCTCCAGGCCATGCCCGCTGCCGGATCCCGAGACCATTTTGCGTTTTATTTGGAGCTAGATGTCCGCCTACAGTACATAGAAGAGATTCCCAAATTGCGTTGGGACTACGTCGGATTAGCTCGCGCCCCCGCTCCCGAATGAACTGCGACTCCATTTCGAGCGGCCGTTGAGGCCGCAGCTGCCGAAGTCTCGTGGCAGTCGGGAGCCACCCGCACGGAAGAGCTTGTAATGCAGGCCCCTAGCCTCGAGAAAGCATGGGAGCACTCAGTGGGGGCGCTCCAGCAGGTGGGGAGGGGGGGGGATCTCTGCAGTGCTACGCGCCGTGCCCTACCAGCGGAGCATCAGGAACTTGCCAACCGACGGGTGGAGGCCTTGAAGGGAAGGGGGACGGCACGTGCACATATGACGAACGATCTTGATGTTGTGATGCGCCCCGCGAGCGTGTCGAAGCATTGCCGTGCGGTGCGACGTGAGCTGAGCTTGATGAGGGAGCTGCAATTGTGCGAGGAGCTTCGGGAAGCGCACAGACGAGGGGAGGCTTAGGAAGAGTGGAAATATGCCGGCTTTTACCCTCCAATAGTGTGGGACCATGGCGGCGGGGTTTCAACCGACTTCCCGACTCCCTACCCGCTATGGCCGACTGGGCCTAAGATTTGGCCCTCCCACCCCCAAAGGGGGGATGCTCGCTACCACAATTGACCCGATCGAATTCCTTGCCCTCAATGCTCAGCGCGACGACCCTGCCCTGCCCACCGACGCTGAGTGGACGCTTGCATCGGAAGACTCTGAACTCCTCACCTAGACGACGTGCTGCGGTCCGTTGCTCCGTGCCTTCGGAACTATGGGCTTCGCTGTTATCCGACCGCCCCACCCCTAATACTACGACCAGTGGACTCGGAGCCCCACCCCCGAGCCCACCCGGTGCCTTCATCAAGGAGTGAGTCATCTCGATTTCAGCCCGCGTCCGCCACAACGGCAGGGTGGCGATGCATTTGCTGTGTCAAACATACCAGGTCCCAACATACAACGGGACGCTTTTTTTTGTTGTTCGGAACGCGCGCGCTCTCCATGGTATGTTTTGTTTCGGGAAGGCGTGGGTGAAATGTGTTCGTCGACGAACCACTGACACCCCTCATGGAGACCACGGGTATTTTCGAGGCCGCTCACGGCTTGGGGCCATCCGCACTACGGCCGTTCTTGGAAAGCGTCTGCGCGAGGCCAAGGTCTCGATAGTGGATACCAAACACGATATGACCACTGCGATTGCGCCTGCGTTGCGTCCGGAGTTCGATGGAGCAGTGCCAGCGCCATTGACGGGCATTTTCCTCTTGTCAGCGAGCCCGGAACAGGCGTGGCTCCGGAACGGCGCGGGGGATTTCCGAGGGGATTATTCGGCGACGGTGTTCCGGAGGCCTTTTGTGAACCGATCCAAGCTTGGATTGCGCAGCTGACAAGCCGCCACCCCCGCGACCTCGTTGTTATTTGCCCCATCTCGGGAATCGTTTGCGACCTCTCTCTCCGGACGTTTGCCGACGACGTGGATGAGTCCCACCAGAACACCGACCCTGCGCACACAGGCCAGGTCATCCACACCTCCGCGAGTTTCGCGCTCGTGGCGTGGCTCACAGCCAGGGGGAGAACACGCTGTTGCCCATTTTGCGGGTCCCGGGTCCCGCTGGTTCAACAAGCGCGCCCACTAAAACCTTGGATTCTTGCCCGGCCGAGTACACCAGCGGGCCTCTCTTCTTGGCGCGATCTTCGATACGACCCACAATTTGTGGCCTGAAGTGGAGGGCCCCTGCGATGCGATTGCGAAGGCATGGCGCGCGATGCGACGATTCTGGAAATCGAGGGCCACTTCGAAACGCAACAAAAGCTTGTATTCCACGGTGCTGTTGCCGGCGCTGGCGTGTCGGGCCTATCCGTTCATGTCCCTACCCCAGCCCAGATCGACCGAGTGAAGTCGAAGCGCGCGCGGCACGGCGCGGCTCTCTGGGGGATGTGGCGGAGAAGTAGACGCGGATAGATGATGAGGGAAGGGAGGTGACGGTCATCATGCCGCTGTCGGATCTTCAGGTGGGGCGACGACTCGGCCTCGTCCCAAACAGCGTCGAGCTGCGTGCCCAGAGGTTGAATGGCTGGCAGAAATTGCTGCCAGCTCTGCCCGGCATGCCCGCGAACTTGCTGCAGTTTTTTTCGGTACTTTCAAGTTCGAGGACCCACGGCACCAACTCTTGCCGTGGATGCCGCGCGATCTGGGGACCACGAAATAGATTGGCATGACCAACCCGTGGGCCAGGTTATTTGCGCGGGATCCTCGCTGCCTCCGAAATCTGGAAGGGGGGAGGGATTTGTGGGATGCTATCGGTACGGACCCCCCTCAACGTGTTCGGGAATGGGGATGCGCAGATGATCTTCCGACTAATGGATTTTGCAATAGTGCGTTCCGACTGGTTGTTGATCCCACCACCACCGCATGGCCCAGATGAAGTAGAGAGGGGGGAGACAGCCGATGGGGATCACGAGTGCCTCACCCTGGATGCTGAAGGTTGTGCGTGCCGCAGGCAGTTTAGGGCGCGCAGGGCGTCGTTGGTGCACCAGCGGCAACCGACGGGGAGCCAACGCGGCAATGGTGGGCGTCTCGCTTCTCTGACCATCACGAAGCAGCGCGTCGCGCGCCGGTCTACTTTGAAGGGCCGCGCGACCGCATTCAGGCATCTGACCCACGCGTGCCAACATGGCTGGTGGATCGTCGATGCTTCGGCCAGCGACTGCCCTTGTCGTTGACGTTGCCGATGCCACGCGCCTCGTCTGCCTGCAGCAGTTTCGGGAGTTCAGCCTTCTGCAACGCCATTCGCGCACCCACTTGCCTGATCCGTTGCCCGACTTTCTGGGGCGCGTTTTATCCCATGCAATGCCAGCGGCGGCCCCGACGGACCTCGGCGGGAGCAGCCAGAGGCGGCGAGGAGACGCCGCCAACGGCAAGGGCGACGGCAAGGGCGGCAAGATCAAGACGGCCAAGGTCAGGCCAGGCGGGCCCGCAAAGGGCCCCGACAACTGGAGACCATGGACCCCGCAGAAATTGGCAGATTGTTCCAAGCGCTGATGAAGTTGGCCCTGAACCTGGCGCTCCAGACACGGCGGGTGGAGGCGATCGCCATCATCATTCTATCGGCCCCGATAGGACTGAAGCCGGTGACCATGGCACGGCAGCGTGTTCGAGGTTGGCTGGGACAAATCCGAGAGGCGACGGCCGAGAACAAGAGCGAGAAATCTTGCTCCTTGCGGCGCGATTTCGCGCGCGGCGGTTATGGGCTTGGTCGAAGGTCTCCTGGCAGAGGGGGAGGGCGTGGGGAGAGTGAGCCTCGACAACGTGCAGGAGCTCAAGGGCCACATGGACGTCATGAGCATAGACGCAGCGGGAAAAGTCCTCGCCCTGGTCAACGCGTCCAACGCGCACAAGGAGACCGATGCCAACATCCGGATGTGCCTCAAGAAGGAGACCCATTGTCATCAGCAGCTGGCAGGAGCAGCTGGGCGCCCAGCGGAAGGACGGGGTAACGCCCGTGCGCCACCTCGGGCGGGCCATCCACACAGGACTGTGCAATTGGGATGAGTGCTGACTTCAGGGGGCACCAGCACCCAGAACCCAAGGGCGAGTGAGCGGGGCGGGTTTAGGGGTCGGCCTGCCAACGTGCCTCCG